AATTTACCTGTAAATATACCAAAATAGATTTAAATGCAGCATGCTGAAATGTTGTTTTGCTGAAGTTTTCGGTTTTGGTAGGTTGATTGTTGAAATGAAAATTTTATAATTTTAAAGCTACATCTGTAGCTATATCTATTACATTGTTTTTGGATCAATGATGGCTGTTTGGAGGAGATACTCTAGTTTTAGAATGCGTCACAAATAATTATGCATGAATGATGTCACAAATAATTATGAGAAAAATAACTTATTCATTCCGATATAATTAATTTGTATTTCAAAAAGGTTTTTATTATCGAAAACTATTCAATTGTATAAAATGCAAATCGGGGGAAAATGTACCAAACAGAAAATAAATTGCCAAATTAATCACCAGTGGCAACTGTGCAAGTGATCAGCTGTTTTGAAGTTTGCAAGTTTGTGCAAATTTCGCGTTCTCGTACATCTATTGATATTTCGTCTCTTTGAGAGCGAATGCTGCTAAATTTTCAGAACTTTTGCTGCTGAAGAATTTTGTCCTTTCAATACGAGTACACACCTTATGTTTCATCAAATCATCCTCTTAAACAGTTTGTTTACATTTGAATTTGAAACATAACCTTACTTTTTGACTCCTGCAAATTCCGGCTAGTAAAATTTTTACTTGCAAGAATTTGCAGCTCTCTCGGTTTGTTACGCTCTAGAATTCGCTCTCTCTTGCAAATATTTTGGGTTATTGAATGTATTTCCAGTAAAAGCTTGCAAGTACTAGTAACAATTCGGACCAATTTTTTGATATTGAATGGACCTATTATTTAGAAAGTACAAGTTATTACCTTTAAGGCCTTATTAAATTCGGCCGCGCATAGGGATAACCCTCACTAAGTAGAGTTCGCCTTTCTGTGTTGCCGAAGAAAAGCGGCTGAAGACCTTTTGCAGAGAACACCATTCTGCGTATGCGGCCATCGGCCGCGCTTGGGGATTATAACTCTCACTAAGTAGCTTTGCTGTATTGCCGAAGAAGAGGTGCGCGGAACATCTTTCTTTATTTTGTGGTTTGAATTGTCGACCAAATGAAAAATAAAATTTTTAGGTGATTTGATGCGGGTAATTTAATTCTGCCATTCAAAACGATCAAAAGATGGGATTAGGCCCCGCTGGCATAATTCATTTTACCAAGTGAAATTTGGCCGCGATCAAAAAATGAAATTAGGCCGCAATAAAAAAATGAAGTTAGGCCGCGCCGAAATAATTCATTTTGGAAAGTGAAGTTAGGTCGCGATCAAAAAATGAAATTAGGCCACCTAACAAATAAGGCGGCCTTAATTCACACGGTCAAAATTCCATCCCCTAGGTCTACCTTTGCAGGAAGGAAAACACGTTTACTTCGATCTTTGAAGCAAGCCCATTATGAGGGTAAACAATACGAAATAGGCTCCCAAGTGACTAAGTGTTTGCTGGGTAAAAACTAAATTAGCTCTTGGTACTTACCATCGGAAGCTTGTGGAGACAATAAAGGGGAATCTTCATTCATACAATCATCATCAAATTCTTCAGCTAAGTTGGGTTCATTCTTAATATCTACTATGTTTAACTCAGGCTCAGAAAATATATCATTTTTTCTGTCAATTGTTGAATTTTTTTGTGCATATGAATCGTCTTCTGTCGCCTTTCCTTGAATCCGAGTACAATCAAGAGCGATTTGCAGTATGCGTTGCTTCTCTTTAATGTTTAACCAAAATTTGTGGAATTCTTTAAGATAACGCCAGCAAACCAAGCAAATTTTATTCGAGATTTCGTCCCTGAACTGTATCTAGATTTTTGTCATTGATGATAAATATTCGTTATTAATAAACTGTTGATAAGTAGAATTTTATAAAGTTACCTGGATTTGGAAGTATTTCTCTATAATTTCTATGGCACCCCCTTCAACTAATCCACCATTTTCGTCGAAAATTTCCATAACCTCTGCCGGTTTATCTAAGCACAATCGACAAGTCATTTTATTTGGGAATTTAATTATGAATAATTATGTTTAATTAAAATATTTCACAAAGCTCCGCGCCGACTATATCAATATACAGCGACTATCGTACCGAAAAATCCTCTAGCGTTGTTATTCACAATGGCGGATTTGTTTATACGGATTAGAGATTTCACACTATCGATCGTACTATCGATAGTTTTAAAGCGAAAGTACACATCGTCCATTGCGTCACAGACACCGTCAAAGCCATTGCCAGCGTCGACGGTGCTTAAAGGCCCGTTTACATACAACTTTGGCGTTGCGTTGGCGTTGGAGTTTGACAGAACGCACGTTAAAAGTATGCTTGCTACAATGAACGCTTGGCAGCGAATCCTTGGGCCACTTATAGTCTGATTATGCATACTTCGCATAACTTCGCACAACTTCGCATAAACTTCAAACTGTAATTTCGTATGTACTTTGTATGTATTCCATTACCCAGAAGTTAGCAGAACTTTAAAGAACTTAGCGATCTGTTGAGTTTAGATTTTGCTTCACATTTTCTTAAGTTACATTTTTAGTGTACTGGTACAAATGGTTGTGCGAATTTATGCGAAGTATGCATAATCAGACCCTAAATTAATAGGCTGTTTTTGCTTACGCGTAAAAGCACATTTAGCGCATTTAGCTCTAAATGCTACTCTAAATGTACATTTATCCATACAAAATTCGTCACCTAAATGCAACTAAATGCAACTACATTTTTGCATTAAGAATCTAAATGCTAAAAGCAACCCTGTGATCTTCCAAAATTTCCACGATTCGAACATGGTTTAAAGAGAAAAAGTGGCAACATTGCTTTTTCGAGTATACAGTTGCTAGCTGCGTTTCAGTGATCGCCGATCGAGATTTCTTTTATTTTGCATTACATATTTGGATAAAGAAAAGTTAAGCAAATTCAACATCGATTTGATGCTGATAGAAATCTGGATCAATTTGTGATCAACTCAGTTTGGTTTGTTTCCTAATTAAGTGAGGAAATTTTAATTGACAGCACCGACAAATGAATATATACACAAACAAATGTTCGGTTATGGTTAAAACAATTCAAGTTTTTGTATTGAATTTTTGGTTTAAAATTAATTTTTTCCTTTTCAGTAGGGTTTTTGCACATTATCTTCTGCGTGAGAATTGATCGTAAGATATACGCATCTAAATAAGAGACTGGAACACGGCTGTTTGTCAAAAGCATACGATTTCGAACTCGCGTAAATGTACATTTGCTAAATGCTATAGCATGAACGCTCTTCGAAAACATATGTTCGAAAGTGCTAAATGTTGCATTTTAAATGCAGCAAAAACGCTGCATAACATACAAGGGGTGTTCGACTTCTCTAGAAAGTCGACTTTCGACTTTTCGATCGACTCTGTACAGTCGACTTTAAAAGTGGACCAATCCACGGAGTAAAGTCGACTTTGTTCGACTTTTTGAATAAAAAGAAAATGTATTAAATATACTCTGCATTTAACTCATATATTAGCTATAAATATAAGAGTCAGAATACGCCAAAAATATCATGATTTACTAGTGGTCTTTAGAATAATCTGTAATTTAGTGAAATTAAATGCTAGGTAAAGAAAACAGAGACTAAAGGATTTTTAAAAATTTTGAAAATTATTCCAGTTATTCAGCATGAAAATGTTGGTTGAGACGGTGTTTAAAAACTATATTTTTAAAAAATAATTTAAAAATTTTTAAATTTTCACAAAAAAAAAATCTAAAAATTTTTTGAATCGATATTAGGTAATTACGGACAACTTTTTGAAAAATGTGGCCTTTCCGATGGAGCAGAATTGGCGGGTATTGGTAGCAATATAAGTGCCACTTTATAAGCATGGATAAATATGGGAGTAGCTCAGACAGCTAGTGGATAGGGACTATCCACACGACTAATGTCGCATATTAAAGCGAAGCGCACATTAGCGCGATTCCATCGTTGCGAATACGTTGCGAATTCGGCTGTTAACTTCGAATCCGCAAACGTGCGCACACTTGAGCGATTTTTTCGCGTCGATTTCCGATGTACAATTCACTCAATTTTCCCTTTATTTCGTGTATTTTCGCACTCGGCGTGCCCAAATCGTACAAAATACTATTATTACGAACGTTTTTATTAGTTTTTGTACATTACACGTTTTTTTTTCTTTGCCTTTATTGCGTTTCGAACGCGTCAATAGAGAGGAACATTGAATGTTCGAAAAATTCGCAGCGACGGTCGTGCAAGTGTGCGCTAGCGCATTAAAATGTATGGGTAGCATTGTTGTAATTTTTGGGCTTGCGGATTCGCAACGACAGAATCGCGCCAATGTGCGCTTCGCTTAACACAGCAACGTTTAGCGGTGTTTAAAATGTTGTACCTTACGGATTGGTCAAATTCGAATCAAAGACTGTCTATAGAAACTTACATCAACTCGTGCAGAAGTTTTCCGGAACTGAAATCTATGAATTTATTAAACCTTTTTTTAACTTTGGGTAGGTTGACAGGTTTTCACTATCGCCAGGTTATTCCTCTGCTTTTAATATATATCTTCATATGTATATGTTATATTCCACTGATGCGTCCAAACGTTGCTCCACTGATACACATATGGTAATACCACTGAAGGCCAGAACCACGCGCAAAAGTTTCTGCTAATATTTGTATCATGCGTCTTATAATTTTCAATTCTTTATCATTTATATCAATTAAAAATGTGTACGGCGCGAATCTGTTCCGACAAAGTTTACAACAATGCTGACCATAGTTTTAAATGAGGAACCACACACTTACGCGATTTTGCTGCAGCGATTTATTCGAACATTCAGTTCTTCTTTTGGTTGTGCCGAAATCGCAGACTCCGCGTTTTGAGAACGAAAAGGTCAATAGAAGGATTTTAACAAAATTGAACGTAAGAAAACAAAACATATTTGATGAAGAAAAGTTAAGTTTTTTTTAAATATTTTTTGTCTGTCTATAAATTGACAGATTTTACTACGCACAGATGTGTCCGTACCCATGATGCAATAATGAAAGGTGTTATACGTTGGCAACTTCTCGCTCTAATCCGCCATCTTGAACTACCTTAGGAGAAACTGTGTTGTTTCTTTGCTATTTTCACTGAACATTTCCCAAAATATTAGAAAAAAATTCTGAACAAGCTACATTGATTAAATTTTCGTTGTTCGTTTTGTTCTTATTCGCTGACATTTGTTTTCCAATTGCGTGAAATTTGGTAAGTATTGTAATAAAACCGAATTATTTTACAAATAAATTATAATTTTGCATTTATTAGGTAATTTCCTTAGTGTTTCGCTGACCGACCTGTGCTGGTATTGTGATTAAGAGCTAATACACGTAAGTTACAACATATTATTTTGACTTTATTGCTGAACCATTCCATTTGAGCTCTTTGTTATTTCTAAACCTAATGAACCATTTATTCGCAGATTTTTCGGACGATTCTGCTGTGCTGCGTTCCTNGCGGTTTTGCAATTTATTGATACATGGTTTTGTACTTTAAACGACGATATGTATGTAGATGTATGTACATGTATATCACATATATTGACTTAGACTTAGAGTTCCGAGATAGGGCATTTTTCAATCAAATTCTAAAATAGGGCGTTT